CAACGATGATGCTGATGATGGCCAGGTGGTGACGACGAAGCAGGGTGGGTCGGGCGGGTTCGAACCGCTCCGATACCATTGTGACGAGTGCGAGGCTGAGGGAGAGCCGAGGGAGAGGAGAGAGAGAGGGAGAGAGTGAGAGCACACACACACTCACTCACTCGACACGACTGAGGGCCGGACGCAGACACAGTGGCAAGGGCACAAAATCGAAGTCTTGGATTCCGAATGCCGAAACAGCAAGTCACACTGAGTACGAGTACAGCAGCTGAAAACTGGTACGAGAATGGCCCCCGTACTGTACGGGTAGCCGATACAAGTACCAGTGACACGTACGGTACCAGGGGCATTTCCGCAAAAGCCCCCAGGGCAGAACTGAAAAATGCGGTAGTGGCGCCCGAATTGCAGCATGGCGCCAGTTGTCCAAAATCCGACGGTACCAAAGGAGGGGTTTGGAAAAAAGGATGCCAGGCCGAAAACGGGATGCAGCAGAAACAGCCAAAAAAAAAAAACAGGACTCGAGCCCTGGCGGAGTCCTAACAGCACCACAGGCATCTGTCCGAATTAGTTGCATTTGGGATAGAAGCCGAGACTTTGCCCTTCCTGAAAACCGACCAGCTGCAACTCCTGGAACCATAGAGTTTGGTGTCCAGTATGAGAAGCTATTGCAGCAGGCTGTCGAGCACATTAGAAAATCTCAGGAGGCAATGATCGCCTCTGAGAACAAACACAGGCAACAGTCCACATTTCAGGTAGGGGACCGTGTCTGGGTAAAGGCTAGTGAATTGGGACAGGAATTCGGTATCTCTAGAAAACTAATGCCGCAGTACTTCGGTCCTTGGGAAGTTCTAGATATTGTGGGTAGTGATTTGGATGGTCCCTCGTACGTGATCAGAATCCCAGGTCATCTGCGCACTTACCCTGTATTTCATGCTTCAAAGCTTGCACCTTTCTCTGAGACTGATCAGTTTCCATTAAGAAGATCAATGCTGCCCCCAACCAAGGATGGTGTAGCATACTGCGCAGCCACACGGGCCTGCAGGGCCCGACCAGCGTCCGCAGCCTAAAAGCCTGGAAACAAGGGCTTACAGGCCCCGTGTCGTTTCAGCCTGAAAGCCTGAAAACGAGGGCTTGCAGGCCCTATGTCGTTTCAGCCTAAAACAGGGCCGTCCAGGCCCCGAGTCTTTTCAGCCTGAAACGGAGGGCCACTTTCGGGCCCTCATAAGATCGACCTACCCTGACATTCAGGCACCAAACCAGGGTTTTAGGAACAGGCTATTTCTGGCCTGTTCCCACAACAGCCTCAGCAGGAGCTGCAGCGCCAGGCCCTGGCTCATTTGCGCATTGGCAAGAGCAGCCTCCTGGACTGCCCCACCCTGCAACTGCAGGCAGTCAGGTACATAGGGAGTTCCCATGCACTTCACGGGGAGGCAGAAGGCAGGAGTAGTCTTCAGGATTCGGAGCAGCACTCTGGAGGAGCGCTGCAGGAGTAGCTTTAGCGCTAGCAGTAGTCTTCAGCGCTGGGCGCTAGTAGCTGTAGTGGTAGTCTTCAGCACTGGGCGCTGGTAGGAGCAGAGTAGTGTTGGAGGGAGAGAGATGGCTGGCGGAGGCCAGGGAGACTCACCTGTGGCTCCATCTTCGAGGTACCTGCATCAAGGCGCCAACTTCACCGGTTAGTATCGGACTGAGAGAGAGAGAGAGAGAGAGAGAGAGAGAGAGAGAGAGAGAGAGAGAGAGAGAGAGAGAG